AACAAACAAAAATTACAAGATATCAATAAATATTTCAAGGAAACACTTCAAGACCTAAAAACTGAAATAGAAACAATAAAGAAAGCACAATATGAAACAATTATGGAAATGGAAAAGCTGGATAAATGATCAGATGTAGAGCCCTGGGTGAGGGCGCTACCCTGCCTGGGGAATGGAGGGTGGATGGGAGAGGAGGGATGGTGGTGAGGGGAGGGAGAGGGAGAAGGGATCGACATGTGAAACAAGCTTGTTCCTAATTTGAACTAATAAAAAATAATAATAAAAGAAAGTGCTCAAAATCCTTGGCCATCAGAGAAATGCAACTCAAAACAACTCTGAGATACCATCTTATACTGGCCAGAATGGCTAAAATCAAAAACACCAATGACAGTCTAGGCTGTAGAGGATGTGGACAAAAAGGAACACTCCTCCACTGTTGGTGGAATGCAGACTTGTAAGACCACTTAGGAAATCAGTATGGTGGTTTCTCAGAATAATGAGATTCAGTCTACCTCAAGATCCAGCAATTCCTCTCTTGGGCATATACCCAAATAATGCAAGTTCACACAACGAGGACATATGTTCAACCATATTCATAGCAGCATTTTTTTCAGTAGCCAGAACTTGGAAGTAACCTAGATTCCCCTCAACTGAAGAATGTATAGAAAAATGTGGTATACTTATACAATGGAGTACTACTCAGCAGAAAAAAAGCAATGGAAACTTGAAATTTGAATGCAAATGGATGGAACTAGAAGAAACCATTCTGAGTGTGGTAACCCAGTCACAAAAAGACAAGCATGGTATGTACTCACTCATATATGAATTTTAGACATGGAGCAAAGGATTACCAGTCTACAATCCTCTTCACCAAAGAAACTACGAAACAAGAAAGACTCTAAGAGAAAAATGCATGGACCCCAGACAAGGGGAAGTGGCAGGATCTCCTGAGCTAATTGGGAGCATGAATATAGGGGAGAGGGAGATGGCAGAATAACAGGAGGAGGAGAAGAGGAGGGAAGAAGGGGAAATTGATCATCAGAAATGTTGAATTTGGGGAAGAATAGAGAAGAACAGGATGAGAGATATCATATCAGAGGGAGCTATTATAGGTCTGAGGAGAGATCTGGCACTAGGGAGATTTCCAGAGATCTACAAGGATAAAAAAACTGACAATCTAGGCAATGGTGGAGAGGATACCATAAATGTTCTTCTCCTATAATGAGATGGATGTCTAATTTATATTCCATTGTAGAGCCCTCATCAAGGGGTTGATGGAAACAGAGGCAGACACCCACATATATACTCTGAACTGAACTCTGGATCCCAGTTGCAGAGAGGGAGGATTGAAGACCAAAGGGGTTGGTACCAGGCTGGTGAAATCCACAGAATCAGCAGGCCAGAACAAGTGGTACCATATCAACCCCAGAATGCTGTCTGGGAGGCCAGCACAGAACTAATCCAGACCCCTGAACATGGATGACAATGAGGAGGCCTCTGCAATCTATGGGGCCCCTGGTAGTGGATCAGTACTTTTCCCTGAAATACTACGTTAAGGGATTTTCTCTCACCCTGGGCACATCGGGAGGGCCTAGGCCCAGGCCAGGATGATGTGGTGGACTTTGGGGAGCCCCTGTCGAGGTCACAACCCTGCCTGGTGAGTGGAGGGGTGATAGGGTGCAGGTTAGGTGGGGGGTTGGGGGAGAGCCGGCGGGAGGGGTGGGAGACAGAGAAAGGATTGACTTGTGAAGCAAACTTGTTCCTAATTTGAACTAATAAAAATAAAAAGCTTGTATGCTTAAAAAAAACACTTATTTTAAATTGTAAATATACATACTTATTTCTGAGCAGTGTCACAAATTGACATCTCAAATCACTAGTCCATTACAGTGTACCATATGTAATGAACTGCATGGGGTATTCAACTCTATTTTATTAAGTGGCTTTATATTACTTTATCTCATACAACAGTACACAAATGAAAGTTTCTGATTTACGCTTATGATTTTTGAAGGATATGCTTGTCAAATGAACTTTTGACATAATGTTTTCAATTAATATATTTTATTTGTTGTATCCCCATTATTTCCCAATTTCTCAGTGTTTCCCAATTTCTTATTTAGCAAGGCTTGGGATGCATATTTTAGTGTCTACACGTGTATCTGAGTGTATTTGCATCATATTCATTTTTCTCTCACCATGTAAAGTAAGGGACATTCAAGTCTTTGCCCCCTCCCCCTTTTTGTTTTTCCAGTAACAATAGGATTTACACTGACCATCATCCTTTTTGTTTTCCTACAGGCTCTGAACTGGTCTATTACATATCTCTCCAGCAGAGGACAGTGTTTATATTTATCTAGCTAAGGACACAAGTATTACAGCTGATGATGACTATAACACAATGAATAAGACAAAGCAATTCCAAGGCTCTTGAACCACTTAGTATCACAAATGACACCAGGCATTTGATCCCTTCTGTCAGACTTGTCTGAGCACAATTTGTTGGCACAGACACTGGAATATGGAGACCCCGAGTACTTGCAGTCCTCAGAGAAAATACCAAACTTCTCCCAGATGCTCACCTCTATTTATACCAATAACCTTAGCTCAGGAGGAGCAGAAATACAGGGTTCTCTTAGAAGCAACATAAGACATAGTGTTGGATTCATGATAGATGCTACAAAACCAACACTCCTTTCTTTCTGTTTCAGAAAGGAGGGCTTTTCAAAGCTGAACTTCTGTGAAAAAGAAAAGCCCTGAAATTGCCTGAGTCCCAGTTCACACACTGGGACATTGGTTTTCCTAGTACTTTGTATGTTGAGGGTCATTGAATTAGAAGGGGATGAATAGGAACAACCTTATTTGAGTATCTGCCAGAGAAAGGAAGAGGAAGAGATGGCTCATCAGGTTTTCCAGTGTACATTCCAGTCATCCTCCCCTGAGCTTTATCATGGAAAAATTAGTTCCATATTTTAAAGAAAAGAATCAGCATGACATGTAGGTGATTTCTAAGTTTAGCTATTAAAAATAAATGGAAATAATAAGTACAATAAAGCTATAACACTGTAGAAAAAAAGCAAAACAAAAACAGAGTTTTAGTGTTCACTAAATTAAATGCAAATAAGTAAAAGCAGAAGTATGTTTTTGAGTTAAGAACATCTAGTTTACAACCTGCTATTGCATATTTACTCCTCAGAGGCCACAAATAGCTCCTACTTGCTTTTAAGAGAATAAACTCAGAAAAAAAAGAAGTTTGTAGTCAGATGCAGAGGTCAGACAACAAGATGGGTTTGCTGGTACAAACTGTCAACTTGCTGCTCCTCACCATCAAGGGTGAGAAATATGGGAGGCTCAAAGCTTACACTCAACATTCCTCCCCTTGAAGAAGTTTTAGTTTAAAATATTCACCTTTTTTCTTCCTTCCTTCCTTCCTTCCTTCCTTCCTTCCTTCCTTCCTTCCTTCTTTCTTTATTTATTTCCTTTCTTGCTATCTCTCCTCTACTTCTTCTTTGTCATGTTTTCTTCTTTACATAGTGAGTGGTAGGAAGATATGTTGCAATCGTGATCTACTAACTTCTATCTTTCTTCATCTTCATCCTCTATCATCTGTCAGGCTATCATAAATGCCATCTCAAATAACTTCCCCTGCTTCTATTCAAATATGGGAGCCACTCATAAGCTCTGATTTGTAGTATATCCAAACTTGTTTCTGGATTTTTAGATCTCTTCAGTGGCAGTGGATCTGCTTATACTCTCAATAATCAGCAGTATGGAGTTTGAAGAGGTTGCCAATTATTAATAACATAGCAGAGAAGTCCCCCTTTCACACAGTTCTACAAACCCAAATAAAGCAACTTTCAGCTTCTCAGGATCAATCTAATCTCTCCCTCAGAAAATCAATATGGTCAGGAGTTGGACTAACGTTCCCTTTCACACAGTTCTACAAACCCAAATAAAGGAACTTTCAGCTTCTCAGGATCCATCTAATCTCTCCCTCAGAAAATCAATATGGTCAGGAGTTGGACTAACGTGTTACAGAATCTACATATTTTTCTATATTGGAAGTGTGTTTGAGTTTCATGCAAAGTCTTCAAGCAGCCCCTCTCTTAAAAAAAGAAGAGTAAAGCATAGATGGAGATAATGGGATAAGACAACCAGAGGCCACATCTTTGTAGCATACTCTGCAGAGGAATATGTTAGAGCTGTGATTCACATTTTCTGAACTTCACACTGATTCTCCACAGAATGTCATTGGGATTTTGAGAATATATGCATGGGGTTATAAAGTCTCATTTTCATATTTTTTTCACTTTAGTGAAGTATAACATC